ACTAGGCTAATAAAAAAAAACATCAAAATTGGAATTATTAAAATAGAGCTGACCCAATATGAGTACGAAGTTTTACACAAGAACAATGTGCAGTTAACCAAATATATCATCATTTTCTATGCTAGAAAAAATTCCCAGCACACAATGGTAATTTAATATTGAAAACCAGTAGAAATATAGCGGCTTAAATTCCACCATAAATAACAACATATTTCCTTTCAATATTTCATATATATAACCATGGTTATAAAAAATAATCCAACAACAACAACAATATCAAGTAAACAAACACTGAAAAATAATATATAAATAGGTGATTCTAAGAATAATGCTGGTGTAGGTTTAAATGGTTTTGTGAAGGACGGAAGTATATAACAGGATGTTGTGTTTTTTTTTTACATTTTAAAATTGAAACTTCCTGTGTACAGGTAATGTGTGACGTATGTATATTGTGTGTGCAAACAGTTGTTTGTATTATGTATACGCCACAATATATCCAGGCTGCACTAAACATATGAAACAGAATGACGCTATTGTGATTACTTTCATATATGATCCATTTAATTTTTAGTGGTCATATACATATGTGTATTTTTTTTGTGTTCTCTAATAAAGCAATAATATACCTGATTAAACACATGACAATAAAATGCAATGTATTCAAAGCAATGATATTCATGTTTCTTTTTATGCCCTCCACCATAGCATGGAGGGTATATTTAGTTTATCATTCCGTTTGTAACACCTCGAAATATGCACTTTAGACACTTTACAGGATTGTCCATATTCGACGGACCCATCTGGCAACGCCATAACTTTTGACAGAGATGTCACATCGCTCAATGACATACCGCGTTTGAAGCGTCAGTCCAAGCAGATTTTTAACATGAACCAATACACGTCACGCGAAATAGTTGAAATTTACATTCAACAGAAGAAGTCAATTGTGAAAACTCAAGGTGCTTTTAAAACATTAAAAACTGTGAGAAGTGCGCCTTCTAAGAACACCATTAAGCGTTTATACGAAAAATTTTCGACTGATAAGGCTCTTTCTAATCCGAAGAGGCCATATAAAAGTCGACCAAGGCGATCGGCCGAGAATATCGCTGCCGTACGAGCCAGTGTTGAGAGGTCGCCAAGAACATCCCAAAAACGCCGTTCTCAGCAGTTGGCCATGGCTCGGTCCACTTTACAACGGATTATTCGCATTGATTTGCATTTGTTCCCGTACAAAATTCAATTGACGCAAAGAATGTTGCCTGCGGACAAGCCTCGTCAATTGGAATGGGCTCCGTCGAATATGGGCAACCCTGTATATACTCTTGATCAGCATAAAATTCTATGTCGATTTAGGAGTGTCCGTCCGTCTTTGGAAATCACTCTAGCTTCCGAACGAAATAAAGTAGGCTGATAAAATTTAACTCAAATGTGTATTCTGTCTGCAGGACTTTTGGTATTGAAAATGGGCCATGTAGGTCCACGTCTTCGTATAGCCCCCATATAACGGTACCTCCCGTTATGCGGTATTTTGATGATTTTAGCGACATTTTTTACCGGAATTATTTCACATTTTGTATTTGACGTTTTATAACCCCCATGGTACCTCCCGATATTCGGTATTTTGATGATTTTAGCTAAATTATAAATAGATTTCTTTTCAAGTTTTGCATTTGAATATTGTAATAGCTTGTGGCAAAAGTTGTGTATACACGTCCCCTTCGTCGTATAGACCCTAATATACGGCTACATTCGGTATTTTTAAGATTTTAACGGATTTTATTGTTTTGAAAATTGCTAAATTTGTACCAAATGATGCAGGGTATTCAAAGTTTGGCCTAGCCGAAATACTTGTTACTTGTTATTACTTATTTCGAACATAGGCTGTACATTAAATTCAAAGTGTGCACTTGCCCAAAACTGAAGTTTCGCTTACTGAGGAAGGCTCGAATTAACGTCTGTTCAATACATACCACACTAAACCAACCAATGGTGATTTTTGTATTACGGATATCCATATGCTAAAAACCTGCTTATATATTAAGCAGTAGGAGATCCAGTATTAGCATAACCATTTTATTCCTTTTTGAATTGAAACTACGTGTTTCCGCTAGTCTTTCCATGGATCTTCATATAATCACTTTCTGAGTCTATTTGTGTATTTCATTCCGCCTATGTATACGTCCATGTATCCTTGTGAACAAAATGCAGGTCCCATTTATTATCCTATTGAGATGATATTTTGCAAGCAATATTTGTTTGGCCCAAGGACAAACCCTATTGACATTTGTGATAATCGGATCAGATTTAGATATTGCTTCCATATATCTTCAACCGATTTCGCGTTAATTGTGCACAAAATGGCTAATATAAGTCCAAATGACTTGTAATTTGGTACATCCCACCGAATTCAGTCTAGAAGCAAATAAATCAAATTTGGAGAAAATTGGTTCAGATATAGCTATAGCTCCCATATATATGTTTCATCTGATTTGGGGTTTAAAGTCCCTCACATGCATAATATGCACTCCAAAAGAATGATATTTGGTATCGGACAACAGATACTGGCTAATATCATTCCAAAGGGACTGAATTTTGGAAATTACGACTAAATTCATCCTCAGATATAGCTACAGCTCCCATACATATCCTGAATCCGATTTCCCTTTAAACGGAATCGTATACAATTTCTATAATATTATTTCTCATAAAATTCTACTATATGTTTATCCTAGGAAACGTCAAATACATATCAAAAAAAACCATTTTAGGGTTAAATTCGTACTTTATGTGGGTTTATACAAAAATCTCTAACAAACAGTAATACTAGTAGAATGACGTCAAAGCCAAAAAATCCCCATCAAATTTCAGTATAAGTGACCAAAATTGCATCAATATGCCATGTTACCTGGAAAGTATGGTCAGAAAATTTAAAACTCTAAAAGCAGACATATACGCTAACCTATATTGAATCTCCTATATTTAGAAATTACTACAGATTTGATGGACTAATCCTTCAATGAACCGAAAAATATACTAACAAATATAGCTTAAGCGATGCAAACGTCTATGCAATATTTAATTCAATGCGGCAACGCGGAACGGATCTAGTCTCGAATAGTCTCATTTCCAATGAATCTAGTACCCGAATTTCATCTGTGATATTATGTATGTCAAACTTAGGTCTGGCACCTCCCTAAAAAAGGTAAGAAATCTCACAAATCCTAATCACCTCTTGCTCTTTTGCAAATGTTCTTCAAACCCTGAACAGGTGGTACGATATTTAAGTATATTGTGGTCAAAAATAGTTATAGTCTTTATTTTTGACATATTTTTCACAAATTTTCTGACTAAGATTTGTGAATATTTTACTAGGAATTTACAGCTATATATAAATCGATCTAGCGCTATCCGTCCATCTGTCCATCAATCTGTTTGTGAACACAAGAAAGGAAGAGACAGAAAGTAGCAAACTTGGAACTTAGTAATATTATTATCGACCAAACCGACTAAAACTTTTTGACTTGTGTTTTTATACCCTCCACCATGGTATAAAGGGTATAATAAGTTCGTCATTCCGTTAGTAACAAGTCTATATATACATTTCAGACCCCACAAAGTATATATATTCTTGATCAGCATAAAATTCTAAGTCGATTTAGCGATGTCACTCTGGCTTCCGAACGAAATAAAGTAGATTGATAAAATTTAACTCAAATGTGTATTATGTCTGCAGGACTTTTGGTATTGAAAATGGGCCATGTAGGTCCACGTCTTCGTATAGCCCCCATATAACGGTACCTCCCAATAGCGACATTATTTACCGGATTTGTTTCAAATTTGGTAATTTCGTAATGGATACTGCAGCCTATGACAGAAAATTGTCTGTGCAGGTCCACGCCTTCGCATAGCCCCCATATACCTAAATTCACATTCAGTATTTTGATGATTTTAGCGACATTATTCACTGGAATTGTTTTAAATTTGGTATTTGAAGTTCGTAATGAATATCTGTGATAGAAAATTTTCTGTGCAGGTCCACATCTTCGTATAGCCCTCATATAATGGTACCTCCCTACATTTGGTATTTTTATGATTTTAGCTACATTATTCATCGATATTTTTCAAGTTTCGCATTTGCATATTGTAATGGCTTATGACAAAAGTTGCGAATGAAGGTCCACGTCGTCGTATATGCCTTATATAACGGCTACATTCGCATTTTATTTTTTGAAAATTGTCAAATTCGTTGCAAATGGTGAAGGTATTCAAAGTTCAAACTTATAGCTTTATTAGTTGTTCCTTTTCAAATATTTAAGCTTTTCAGTAATTCTAAAATACATCCCAGGTGTCGGAAATCATAATTTCAACACTACACAGTTTTTTGAGCAAAAACTACTTTTTTTGAGTTGTGACAATTGCCATTGAATCTGTAATGTTCAATATCGAATAATCAATAATTTCTTGTCTTAATAATGAATGCATGCCTCCAAATACCATCAAAATTATTTTAATTTTTTTTATAATTCAATTCCATTGAATTCAATCATGTCATTTCGTCTATAATTTCAAAGTTTTATGCCAAATCCGTTTATTATATCGTGAGTTGTTGTTTTATGTGCATTTCATTGATTTCATTTAATTGGAAATGTTAATATTCTATATAAATTTATTGAAATATTGAAATAGCAACGCTATGTATTTCAGATACAAAATTTAAATCTCACTATAAATCAATTAGTACAAATGTCATGAATATTATAAAACAAAATAAGAATATAGAGAACATTTTTTTTCCTATCCCAAAGCTATTTTTGTATTCATTAATATTTAATACCAACAAAAAATCAATTTATTTTCAGATTAAAAATAAATACAAGTGAACGTGAATGATTGTCATATCACAGCGGTCGTCGGTCACCTGGTCTCGCACACAGAATTAGTACAGGACAAGAACAACAATAACATATCAATGAAACATAGCAAATGAAAATTTGCTAAACAATGGCAAATAAACGAATGCCACAGGCCAGAATAACAAAAAAACGAAATTCTGTTCAAGTCTTTGAATACAAATGAAACAAAATAAACCAATCACATATGTATTTGTGTGTGCGTAAGCAAGTGTGTGTGCAGAATGAAAAGGAGTAGAAGATCTGCAACAAAATCTAGATGAGATTTATGGTTATAAAAGAATAACAACAAAAACCAATTGAGAATGAAACCAGAATGAATGAACAATAGGACGGACTACCAAGCTTCATAAGCCTTGAGGGCGGTCGCACAGCACACAAAGCTCCGAATAAAAGAGAATCCATGCATACCAGCAATAAACAGGTGAAGAAGATTCTAAATTTGTTTAAGTCAGCATTTCTGTATCGGCAAAGAGCTGCCTTTGAGAAATAATAAAAATCAAATCTGCTTTCCTTGCTAGTGGCAGGCATTCTGAGCAGGCAGATATTTTAAGTAAGCAAAAGACTGTCATATCAGTATTCAACATATCAATTTGTAATTTTACGCACAATAAAATAGAAAAGAATATGTTTACCTATCGAACTAAAGAAAACAGAGAAGAAATCAATTCGTTAACCACCTCTACCACCCATTCAAAAACCATCGACTACTATTTGCATGGCTTTGTGAAAAATAAGTCATGTTTGGTTGTGGAAGTCAATGGATTGGTTTAATGAAATAACTATTAACCACAAAGGATAACAAAACACACCCACACAAGAGAATTGCTAAATTTATATAAAACTAGGATAAACCAATGCGATTCAATAATTGCAGATTCGAACACATAACAACCAATCAAGATATATATAGAATATCAAATCAAGTGTTCCTCCCTGCAATTTTATTTCCCCCAGTAACATTGAACGTAAAACCATTTTAAACTTAACGAAAGAACAGCAACAGAAATAGGGAACCATAGACACAATTGCAGCTGGGCTACTTACCCGAAAAACTCTCCGAACAACGTCAACAGCAGAAATAACACTTTGCACAAGGATTATGCTGAGAAAATGAATCTCTCCTTTGATACACGAGTTTTCGTACTTATTTGTTGTTTGCTGCAAGGTAAGTAACTCACTTTACTCAATAAACCTCATCCACACTTATATACATACATAGAGAGATATATTTTAAACTTCCGTTTTCTTTGAAATAGTAGCAAAAAAGCATAGATGTAAGTTTATGTGTGTGCATGTGCAACGATTTGGAGTTTAAAAATGTTCTACCAGCATCAGTCAAGGGCTTAACGATTGTTGTTTGTATATTTCTCTTACGCAGGAAATTTAAAATTTGTTTATATATTTTAAATTTTCAGATTTCCTTATATCCGATATTGTTGTCAAAATTAAACATTTTTCAAATTAGGTCATATTGCTCATTTAGTCAAAAATTAGTTTTTATACTCCACAATACTATTGGGTGGGGCTATTATAAATTTTATTGGGCCAACTATTATAAAAGACATAGAAATACTGCTCAAAGACATAGGATGTCACATATGGATCATTCAAACTCGCCGAGTTGAGGCGATCTAGCTATGTGTGTTTGCGTGAATGACCTTTTGGCAGTATCGAATAAAATCTGGAAAAATCGCTATTAAAAATGTAAATATTTTCGGATATATTTATACCCTCCTCCATCGACCGCAAAAAGTTTATATAGATTCTTGATCGATTTATCGATGTCCGTCCGTATGACTGTCTTTTAAAATCACATTATTCAATATAGAGCTTTGAATTCGAATTGAAAAAGGGCTACACGGGTTCACGTTTAGCCCCCATATATCGGTACCTCTAGATTTTCGGCATTTCGACGTTTTATGCCACAATTTCTATTCAAATAAGATGAAACTTTACATTTGGGGTACTTGGTAGATATGTTCTATACTTGCAAAAAAAATTCGATACAGGTCCACTAATTGGTATAGAACTCTCATAAAGTTACCTACTGATGACGGTACCTCACGTACCATACAACGGTACCTCACGATTTTCGGTATTTTAAAGGTTTCTGCCACAGTTTTCAACCAAATTAGATGAAACTTGACAATTGGGGTTCTCGGTAGGACTGTTTATACCCTACACCACAAGGCCTTTGTGCATTTGTTTGTAACAGGCAAAAGGAAACGAGATAGACCGATAGTTCCTTTTGATGATCTGCATAGAATCACATTCTGAGTCGATTTATGCATGTCCGTCCGTCCGTCTGTCCGTCTTTCCATGTATTTTTGTAAACAAAGTACAGTTCGCATTTATTGCCCTATCCAGATGAAATTTTGCATAAATCATTTGTTTGGCCCAAGGACAGGAACGCTATTGAAATTGGAGATAATCGGTCAAAATTTAGATATAGCTCCCATATATATCTTCGTCCGATTTACCTTTGATTGTGCACCAAACGTCTAATATTTGCCCAAATGGGATGAAATTTGGCACATACGACCGAATTTAGTCTAGAAGCCAGTATGTCAAATTTGGTGAAGATCGGTTCCGATATAGCTATAGCTCCCATATATACTGTTCATCCGATTTGTTATATTTGTTACCCACAGCCGTAATATGCACTCCGTATCAACGATATTCAGGGAAATATGTCAAATACAGCTCAGAAGTATCTTTGCCAAATTTTATCGAGATCGGTTCCGATTTGGATATAGCTCCCAAATATATTTTTATCCGATTTCAAATTAATTGTGCACCAAATGGGCAATACAAGTCCGAATTAAAAAGATATAAATGCTTCGGCATATTTAGTCCTTTGAACTTTAAGTTATAATTAAAATGTATGATTGAATTCTCCCGTAAAAACTTTTAATTGTTATGCGGAGCTCTACTAAATTAGCAAAGTGGTGTAGGGTATCATAAAGTCGGCCCCGCCAGACTTTAAGACTTTCTTTACTGGTTTTTCTTTGCAAAAAATGTTCCTTTCAGGTACACTAATTGGTATAGCCGATTTACGCCATTTTCAAAGTTTCTGTCACAATTTCCAACCTGGGGCGTAAAAGGTTCGTCACTTCTGATCGTTAAATTGATGCTCATATCTAAAATATTGCATATATAGTAAAATATATACAATCTCAAATATCAATGAAGGGGATGTTAGTTAGACCGCTTATAAGTCAAGAACAGCTGAACTGATTTTCACAATTCTCATCAATTCGGAATGGTCTCTTGCCGATTTTTTTTTTCAGTTTGACTTACAATTTTGAATAGTACCTTTTCTAAGGTTTTTTTCTACACCCCCCAACACTATGTGTGGAAAGTTTTATATTCAGGTCGCAGTTATTGTCTAATCCTACATACATAACAACAAGGTGGAGTGCGTAAATATAAGTGTAACATCTGGTCAGGGCTCCATGACATTATTTCAAAATCGAAATTAATTTGGACTTCCAACATATTGTAGTGTTATAGGGATTAGAACAGCGCAGAAGACTGACATTTTGGAATCAGATAATAGTTAGCTTGTAAACCGGACCAGAATTTTTTGCGAAAAATTCCTAAATTAACGAAATCACACACAACAAGGTGGAGTGCGTAAATAGAGTAACATCTGGTCAGGGCTCCATGACATTATTTCAAAATCGAAATTAATTTGAACATAAAAAGACTTCCAACATATTGTAGTGTTATAGGGATTAGAACAGCGCAGAAGACTGACATTTTGGAATCAGATAATAGTTAGCTTGTGAACCGGACCAGAATTTGTTGCGAAAAATGCCAAAATTAACGAAATCACAAATACATTAACGGCGCCCCTCTGACCTTTACATTGGTGCTGATTTCTTTGACGAATATAGCCAAATATCGGAGATACAGGAAATCATATAGATTTTTTAACATTAGTGTGGTATACGTAAATATAGGGCCAATACCTCAAACACATGACCAAGTGGTTTGGGTCAAGAGCAGTCAGTGTGACATTATTTCAAGAAAGTAATATAATGAATATGCATGGAAAAAATTAATATTAAATTTCTGTTGTTTCCGAACGAGCAAATTCAGCATTTGACGAGAAATACAGATGCTTTGTGAGAGATCATATGTTTTAGGAAAATATTAGTTTTAGATTTATGATGATTATTCAAAAAGAGGAGCAATAAGTTTCTTCATTTGATTTTATTATGTACTAGATATTCCAGTCATTGCAGTCAAAAGGGTTTAAGATCTGCAGAAATTGTAATTAAATTAGGAGAGCAATTATTTTAGATTTCATAATTATTTATTTACCAATACGATTTCTCAATTTGTGCATGCCTGATCTACAGTGCTGCATATCTGATTTTAATTGCACACCTTTTTTGAAATTTCTTTTTCTACGCATACCCCTGCGTTTGCAGCTGTATTATGTAGTTTTATGTTAAACTTAAGTTCGTTTGAACGCTTTTTATGTTCCTTCCAAATTCTATGCATATTAACGCTAAGCATCTTTACTCTGCGCGTACTCACTCTCCGTTCGCACGGTAGCATCCTTCGCATAAAATGTGAGCTATACGGCTTCCCCATATTACAACAAAAAGCCATAGAAATAAAGTTGTATGGCAGCATTATCATTTGCTCTGACATAAACACACACACACACACTCATATATATTACATTTGCATTCTTGCCAACGGCAAGTGAGTATGGTTGAGTGTGTCACACCATTATTCTCGGTACGGATCTGTTGTATACGAAATGGTAACATGTTTAGAAAACATCTATACGCATTTTTACACATTCCGTGTTGATACGCTTGTTTGTTTGCTTGCTATTGCTCGTTCGCTAGCTCGCTCGCTTGTTGAATATCATTCAGAAAACGGAAACCCAAGAAATGGAGATAACGTCAATACCATTATGCCGGAAATTACTGTGGGTGATTGTTATGGCCGTACTTAAAAACGGTTCAAATTGTTATTATAATCCTTTCAAATGGATATTTAAAGCGATGCGATGTGAAAAGGTAGAAGTGAATATTTTTCTCGTAAACTAAATTAAATAAAAATTGAAAAAAATTATTCTGGGAAAGAGAAAGGATTAAACCTCAATGGGAAGTGTTATGTTATATTCATAAGACCACTATTCTTAAAATAACTTCTTTTCTGTGTAATATACAAAATTAAACAAATTGCTGTCAATTGGTAGTAATTGTTAGTGGTGGACCATTCTTATTTAATAACTTGGAGGAATGTTTAATTTTTGAAAATGAGGAGTATAAGGAGCACAAGTAAGTAAAGGCTATAGTCGGACAGGGCCGACAATGTGATACCCTACAATACTATAATATTTTATAGGATATATTCATTCAAATAATAATCCAAATCTCTAATCTCATACAAAATTCTGGGTGGATTATTCATTAATTGTTACCTCTAGAATTGGTCCCCAAATATTTTGCAATCATCCTCAAAAACAAATGCTATCCCTACAGGGTCGACTTCTCCCGACTTTAGCTTTTCCTTATAAGTTGACAATTTTTTTGCTAATTATCTGAATAATACAATTACAAATGATGCATCAACCTACTTCTATTCTGACCCTAACCCTACCCACATGTACAATTTCGTGACGATCGGACGATAATTGCGACCTGTACAATAAATACATGATACCCTACACCACATTGCTAATTTAGTAGAGCTCCGCAAAACAATTAAAAGTTTTTATGGGAGAATTCAATCATACACGCTATGATTATAATTATAATTAAAAGTTCCAAGGACTAAATATGCCGAAGCATTTGTATCTTTTAAATTCGGACTTGTATTGCCAATTTGGTGCACAATTAATTTGAAATCGGATAAAAATATATATGGGAGCTATATCCAAATCGGAACCGATCTCGATAAAATTTGGCAAAGATATTTCTGAGCTGTATTTGATATTTCCCTGAATATCGTTGTTACGGAGTGCTTATAACGGCTGTGGGTAACAAATAACAAATCGGATGAATAATATATATGGAAGCTATAGCTATATCTGAACCGATCTTCACCAAATTTGACATACTAGCTTCTAGACTCAATTCGGTCGTAAGTGCCAAATTCCATCCCATTTGGACAAATATTAGACGTTTGGTGCACAAT